TACGTTGTAAGACATGATGCGTCTGTTGTACGTCGTAAGACCTACTACGTTGCAAGACATGATGCGTCTATTGTACGTCATAAGACCTACTACATGTACGTTGTAAGGCATGCTGCGTCTTTTGTACGTCTGATGCGTCTATTGTACGTAATAAGACCTTCTACGTTGTAAGACAAGATGCGTCTATTGTTCGTCATAAGACCTATTTCGTTTTAAGACATGCTGTGTCTTTTGTTCGTCGTAAGACCTAGTACGTTGTAAGACATGATGCGTCTATTGTACGTCATAAGACCTACTACATTGTAAGACATGATGCGTCTATTGTACGTGATAAGACCTACTACATTGTAAGACATGGTGCGTCTTTTGATCGCCGTAAGACTTACTACGTTTTAAGACATGCTGTGTCTTTTGTACGTCATAAGACCTACTACATTGTAAGACATGATGTGTCTATTGTTCGTCATAAGACCTACTACATTGTAAGACATGGTGCGTCTTTTGTCCGTCGTAAGACCTACTACGTTGTAAGACATGGTGCGTCTTTTGTTCGTCGTAAGACCTACTACGTTGTAAGACATGGTGCGTCTTTTGTTCGTCGTAAGACCTACTACGTTGTAAGACATGCTGTGTCTTTTGTTCGTCGTAAGACCTACTACATTGTAAGACTTGCTGTGTCTTTTGTTCGTCATAAGACCTACTACGTTGTAAGGCATGTTGCGTCTAGTGTACGTCATAAGACCTACTACGTTGTAAGACATGCTGTGTCTTTTGTTCGTCGTAAGACCTACTACGTTGTAAGACATGGTACGTCTTTTGTCCGTCGTAAGACCTACTACGTTGTAAGACATGGTACGTCTTTTGATCGCCGTAAGATCTACAACGTTGTAAGACATGCTGTGTCTTTCGTTTGTCGTAAGACAGGCTACGTCTATTGTACATTTGTACATTGTATGAACGTCTGTGTCTATTGTACGTTGTTTGAACGGCTGTGTATATTGTACGTTGTATGAACGGCTGTGTCTACTGTACGTTGTATAGACGTCTATGTATATTGTACGTTGTTTGAACGTCTGTGTCTTTTGTACGTTGAAGGAACGGCTGTGCCTACTGTACGTTGTGTGAACGTCTGTTTGTATTGTACCGTGTATGAACGTCAGTGTCTATTGTACGTTATATGAACGACTGTTTCTATTGTTCGTTGCATGTACGGCGGTTTCTATTTTACGTTGTATGAACGGCTGTATTTATTGTACGTTGTATGGACGTCTGTGTCTTTTATACGTTTTATGAAAGGATACATGTATGTACGCTGAATGTTTTATGCCTACTACGTTTAACACATGCTGCGTCAATCGCACATTGTAAGTCATGCTGCGTCTATTTTATTGTACGTTGCATGATCGTCTGTGTCTGTTGTACGTTGTATGAACGACTGTTTGTTGTATGTCGTAAGAAGAGCTGTGTCTACTGTACGTTATATGAACAGTTGCGTCTATTGTATGCTATATGAATGTCTGTTTCTATTGTACGATGTAAGAACGGCTGTGTTTATTGTACGTTGTAAGAACGGCTGTTTCTATTGTACGATGTAAGAACAGCTGTGTTTATTGTACGTTGTAAGAACGATTGTTTCTATTGTACGATGTAAGAACAGCTGTGTTTATTTTACGTTTTATAAACGGATGTGTCTATTGTAAGTTGTATGAACATCTGTGTCTATTGTACGCTCCATGAACGGCTGTGTCTGCTGTACGTTGCATGAAAGACTGTTTCTGTTGTACGTTGTATGCACGGCTATGTCTTTTGTACGTTGTATGAATGGCTGTGTCTGTTGTACGTTGTGTGAATGGCTGTGTCTGTTGAACGTTGTATAAATGACTGTGTCCATTGTACGTTGTATGAACGGCTGTGTCTATTGTACGTTGTATGAACGGATGTGTCTACTGTACGTTGTATGAACCACCGTGTCTGTTGTACGTTATATGAACTTCTGTGTCTTTTGTACGTTGTATGAATAACTGTGTCTATTGTACGTTGTATGAACGGATGTGTCTACTGTACGTTGCAAGAACGGATGTGTCTGTTGTACGTTGTATGAACGTCTGTGTCTTTTGTACGTTGTATGAACGTCTGTGTCTGTTGTACGTTGTATGAACGGCTGTGTCTATTGTACGTTGTATGAACGGATGTGTCTACTGTACGTTGCAAGAACGGATGTGTCTGTTGTACGTTGTATGAACGTCTGTGACTGTTGTAATTTGTATGAACGTCTGTGATTATTGTACGTTGTATGAACGTCTGTGTCTGTTGTACGTTGTATGAACGGCTGTGTCTGTTGTACGTTGTATGAATGGCTGTGATTATTGTACGTTATATGAATGGCTGTGTCTTTTGTACGTTGTATGAATAACTGTGTCTTTTATGCGTTGTATAAACGGATGTGATTATTGTACGTTGTATGAACGGCTGTGTCTACTGTACGTTGTATGAATAACTGTGTCTTTTATACGTTGTATGAACATCTGTGTCTGTTGTACGTTGTATGAACGGCTGTGTCTATTGTACGTTGTATGAACGGATGTGTCTATTGTACGTTGTATAAATGGCTGTGTCTGTTGTACGTTGTATGAACGTCTGTGTCTTTTGTACGTTGTATAAACGGATGTGATTATTGTACGTTGTATGAACGACTGTGTCTACTGTACGTTGTATGAATGGCTGTGTCTGTTGTACGTTGTATGAATGGCTGTGTCTATTGTACGTTGTATGAACGTCTGTGTCTTTTGTACGTTGTATGAACGTCTGTGATTATTGTACGTTGTATGAACCACTGTGTCTGTTGTACGTTATATGAACTTCTGTGTCTTTTGTACGTTGTATGAATAACTGTGTCTTTTATACGTTGTATGAACGTCTGTGTCTTTTGTACGTTGTATAAACGGATGTGATTATTGTACGTTGTATGAACGTCTGTGTCTGTTGTACGTTGTATGAATGGCTGTGTCTGTTGTATGTTGTATGAACGTCTGTGTCTGATGTACGTTGTATGAACGGATGTGATTATTGTACGTTGTAAGAATGGCTGTGTCTGTTGTACGTTGTATGAACGTCTGTGTCTGTTGTACGTTGTATGAATGGCTGTGTCTGTTGTACGTTGTATGAACGGATGTGATTATTGTACGTTGTATAAACGTCTGTGTCTATTGTAATTTGTATGAACGGATGTGATTATTGTACGTGGTATGAATGGCTGTGTCTGTTGTACGTTGTATGAACGTCTGTGTCTATTGTACGTTGTATGAACGGATGTGTCTGTTGTAATTTGTATAAACGGTTGTGATTATTGTACGTTGTATGAACGTCTGTGTCTATTGTTCGTTGTATGAATGGCTGTGTCTGATGTACGTTGTATGAACGGATGTGTCTGTTGTAATTTGTATAAACGGATGTGAGTATTGTACGTTGTATGAATGGCTGTCTCTGTTGTACGTTGTATGAACGTCTGGGTCTTGTATACGTTGTATGAACGTCTGTGTCTATTGTAAGTTGTATGAACGTCTGTGTCTTTTATACGTTGTATGAACGTCTGTGTCTATTGTAAGTTGTATGAACGGATGTGATTATTGTACGTTGTAAGAATGGCTGTGTCTGTTGTACGTTGTGTGAATGGCTGTGTCTATTGAACGTTGTATAAATGACTGTGTCCATTGTACGTTGTATGAACGGCTGTGATTATTGTACGTTGTATGAGCATCTGTGTCTGTTGTAATTTGTATGAACGGATGGGATTATTGTACGTTGTATGAATGGCTGGGTCTGTTGTACGTTGTATGAACGGATGTGTCTACTGTACGTTGCAAGAACGGATGTGTCTGTTGTACGTTGTATGAACTTCTGTGTCTTTTGTACGTTGTATGAACGGATGTGTCTGTTGTAATTTGTATAAACGGATGTGAGTATTGTACGTTGTATGAATGGCTGGGTCTGTTGTACGTTGTATGAATGTCTGTGTCTGTTGTACGTTGTATGAACGGATGTGTCTGTTGTAATTTGTATAAACGGATGTGATTATTGTACGTTGTATGAACGGATGTGTCTATTGTACGTTGTATAAATGGCTGTGTCTGTTGTACGTTATATGAACTTCTGTGTCTTTTGTACGTTGTATGAATGGCTGTGTCTGATGTACGTTGTATGAACGTCTGTGTCTTTTGTACGTTGTATGAACGGATGTGATTATTGTACGTTGTATGAACATCTGTGTCTGTTGTAATTTGTATGAACGTCTGTGATTATTGTACGTTGTATGAACGTCTGTGTCTTGTATACGTTGTATGAACGTCTGTGTCTGTTGTACGTTGTATGCACGTCTGTGTCTGTTGTACGTTGTATGAACGCCTGTGACTGTTGTAATTTGTATGAACGTCTGTGATTATTGTATTGTGCGTTGAATTACATTGGATTTCTATTGTACGATGTATGACAATCACATGTTGTTTCCTCGTTACGTTGCAAGAACTACTCCGTCAAGTACACGTTGCATCACATGGTGATTCTAATGTACGTTGTAACATTCATATACAATCCAAGTACAATCCCAGACTTACTGCGTAAAGCATTTTGTACGTGTATACCATGCATGTTGTTAACTCGACTGCTTGATCTGCGGAAATTGTGATGAAGATATATGATGGACTGAGTTCCGTCTGTTTTGTGTTTGCACAGGTTCGGTTCATATTAACTAGCTTAAGCTAAGCTTAAACATAATCAAAGACATAATCTCAAAACGCTCCAACAGAATCAGAAGTAATATACCGTGTGTTTTGTTATACATGTTATTGTGAACACGTATTTGTGTTTAAGAAATGTTTTTTACAGTGTTCACATTAGCTTATGTTTTCTCCTCACGTGCTTCTATAGTAGAACTAAAGATGTTTGCCGGCGGGCGCTGATTATATCTTTATGACGAAAATTGGAAATAAAACACAACACATGTATAGAATCACAACTTCCTTTATGGAGATGAGCTGTACAAATATACACGAACACATATTATGTTAGGATATCATACAGTAACAGCAAAGTCATAATCGATTACCAGATTTTCATATACAGCCATACTTGCTTAAAGTACATTTAGTGGCAATATTCATATTTAGTTCAGACTCGTGCGAGTAAATACTAGTAGTTCATATACTATTATCACTAGTCGGAGGTCTTGTTTCTCCCATTAATTTGACGTTTATTAAAAAATATACGTTTTGCATCACGTCATTATTGGTGGACTATTAGCGCGGGAATCGGCAGTCAGAGAGAGTTGAATTGTATGTTATAGTTCCGAAATCCTATATGTCTTCAGTCCTCGCTAAGTGTTACATAGCATGAGTCTTATATATATATATAAAGTTATGATATATACATCCTAAAACGTGAGGATATATACAGAACATAGCAAAATCCCTTAGTACAGTACAGTCTTACCCAAATACGATATCTGATGTATGAATGAACGAATCTATACATTTGATTAATAAACTTATTGAAAATGACATTCAACTACCTATACGGGTTTGCTCTCAAAATATAAAATAAAAGATTGAATATGTACATAATAATTAACATATTCCATAAAATAAAGTTATTAATGAATTAATTTATTACTTATAAATCAAATACGGCATACAAATAATGTACATATTAGTAATACGAAAGGGCAACAGCCTCACAACACTCATGGAAGTCAAATCAGAATTACTTGCCCTTGTCTTCCTCTCTTTTGTCACGTGATAAATGGTTCGCCTATCTCAACTACAGGGCACTGTAATTACTCAAGGCTAATTTCCATCGACAGCAAACGGGTAATCTTGTTACCAGCATTATTCACCAGACGCTTATAAGCGACAATAATGGTCAAGGGTCTATGTGACCATGAATAATTGCTCGAAATATTTCGCTTACGATATTATTTTCAGAGCACTGTATGAACTGTCAAGTTCCATTCAATACGAGGATTGTCTTTTATTCAATTATCTATGATTTTACACAGTTCCTACTAGAACTCACAAATCACAAGAAGTCGAGTGTCCACGAACTTTCATTTCAGACAAAGTGTTCGTCCATGCCGACGAGGAATTACTTGTGTAATGGTACGTTTCCCTGGACAACAGACATCCACTTCCGGTGTCAAGTCAGCAATAATGAAGATACATAATGTCCACTGTCCAATAACCAACACGTCTATGGACGAGAACCTTGTTCGACACGTAACGCAGAATGTTCAAGACAATTTTTTTATTTAGTTTTCACTTGATAAATTCCACTTGAATCCGCACTGTTGACTTTTGTGACATTTGATATGATTCTTGTGCTTTCCACGCGAACTCAGACCTGTCTATTACGAGTACCTTTGTTCCTCACACTCGTTAGCTCTCCCTGTCGTCTGTCGTTTCCTCGTCACCTGAATCGAGGACTGTTAATGTTTTTAATGGTGACTGACTTTCAGTGTCTATTTCCGTTGTCTGTTTATCTTCTTTACGTTTTTCATTTGTCCTTTGATTATCATTATCACGTTCGTTATCCTGTTCTGTCTCCACATTCGTTTTGTCTTTCTTGTCCTTATGTATTTTGTTCTTTCTATTCTTATTCTTCTTTTTATTTTTTCTTCCCTGTCTCCGCTTCTTCCTATTTTTACGTTTCCGTCCAGAAATTTTGCCGTCGCGTCTACGTTTCCGGGGAGTAATGTTCAGCTTTCGTCTCCGCCTCCGGAGTTTCTGTAACCTACGCTTCTTCCTGTCTCGTAATCTCCGCTTCCGGCGTCGCTCCTTATCATGTTTTCCTACTTTTTTAGACCTCAGTGAAAACGATCGAGTGATTTGATTTGTTCTCTCTGGTAGAAAAATAGGTTCAGATATCACCACAGGACTTGTTTTGACCGGAAGTGCAATAGCTTTATTCTGGTTAGTATGTGCATTATTGTCAATTGCTGCACGGCAGTTATCTTCACACTGGTGCTTGGTTCTGAAATTGTTTTGATTTCCGTCACACCCACCAAAGTAGAACCAGTTACACTTGTTATACCCTTTATGATAGAACCATCTAATGTAGCGGGCTCCGCATTTACCTTCGTCTGGCTGAAGGTCACATATCTTGCGTTCTGCTGTTTGGAATAGAAAAGTAACACATACTTATTACAGTCCTTGTACGTGTGTTCAGTAAATCAAATGTAATACTGTTTCCATCTATTTATTATAATGAAGAGCTAATTGCAAAAGTGTGAAGATTCAATACAAAATATAAACCACAAGTCTTTTGGCGAGTAGGCTTTCAAATACGATGTTTATGAAATGTATTTCAGCATATTACATGAAAATGATTTTCTCGAGATATCAAAAACATGATATCACTGGTACATGTATATGTATTACACAATCAGATTGTTGCTTAAAGGGATATCATATAGGTTACGATATACATGTAGGAATCGTAAGGCAGAAATAGCAAAGAAAGACATTTAGAAAAGATGGTAGGTGAGACATGTGTCTAATTATTTGGTAGTGGATTGTATTGAGTTTTTATTACACAATGATGCACGAATATGCTTTAATTACATGTGGAATATGAGTAGTTAAGATAACACTATAGTTGTAGATATAGACTATGATCGAATGCATGTATATTACAGTTATAAAGAAATTCAATAGTTCCTACTTACCAGGAATGATATGTTCTGGGACGCAAATTGGCAATGATATATTTCTAGGTGTATGGAAGTACTGCATTGCGCAGAATCTGCCGGATGAGCACACCTTCCGATACGTTCTACATAACCGCTGTGCTTCCGGTCCAATGGAAAGTCGCCTGGAACTGCTCACCTAGAATGATAAAATGGTAACGTCAATAAACACAAGTGTCAACTGACAGTGTCTGGAAAGACGTCAAATCATACATCCCTCAATTATGCTAACTTTAATCGTTGGAAACAAAAGATGTTATTTGTGGTAGTAAATTATTAAAGACAAAACAAAATTAATATTCTCGTTCAATTTCCGCGAGAACGGACAAAGAAAATGCAGGTTTCTTTGTGGAAGGAAACAAAGAATTGCCTAATGTAATTTTAATCACAGAGGGTAAAAAGAGGGAAGTAGTTCTAAATTGAAATTAATTACGGGAAATGGCCTCCAGATTATTGGACAGTAAATGATGTTGGTTCTGTCCGGTCACATGTCTGATTAGGGAATTATGTGTACAACATTTCAATGGATCGAATCAATTACACACGTCCTTTAAGGCGCATTGACTAAATTTCCCCCTTTGGGACCTCCTTTTCCCACCACATCGTCTGTGTACAGGAGGTGCTTCTAATAACACCCAATACATCACACACTAAGAAAGCGCGGAAGTCACCCTGACTCAATTTGACCTTTTCAAGCGTGAAACTGATTGAGATCTATGATGGCGGACACCGTGCGAACAACCCACAGAGAACACTAGCAGTAAAGGAAGAAAAAACAGATACATATTGATCGATATCGGAAGGAGACGAGCAAAGGAGAGATATTTCAACCACTAAACCGATCGATCCACGTGCATTCTAGCACAAGGGAGAGAGGAGCACATCAAAGGAAGCCGCCACAGGATGGTGAACCCAGGGGGCTGCATGTCATCCGTCCAAAATACTCAAAGGCATTGATTACAGTAGATTTATTGGTTTACCATGATAATGTGTGTACATGATGGAATCTTAGCGATAATGTTTTGGTACAGTTGCTTTGTTCATCTCTGTTGTTGTTATTGAGTGTTTATTGGGATGATCATTGTATGGAACCGTTGTTTTTACCCCCGAGATATAAATGGAAGCTGCATTCTAACAAAATATCATTCACACATTCAGATCACTGACTTCCATACCCATATTGAAAAGAGTAATTCAGTATGGAACAAAGCTGAATATAGTATGAGGTTCACTCGATCACACTCTTAAGTTACATTCTGTAAGAGATATCTCACGTGTTTCCTCGATTCACGTTGTGAGATGGAATGCTACATATGGAAAAAGTCGGCTGATTTCCACTGAATATAGCACCAAGAATAGTTGTTGTCATGAAATGTCACTGATGTTTACATTGAAAGAACATGTTTCATATCTCTTAGTGTTTTTATGATAATAAAACATAAGTTGAGTTGAACGACGTTAACTATGGTTGAACGTCTTTCCCCCGGGGTCCCATTTCTCGGGAATTCATTACCTGGACATCATTTGTTTGAACAGATTTGCCTTACTTAAAAAAGTCGTGTTTCCGGTGAATTCGGAAAATAAATTAATCCTGATATTTACGTATAAGCAGATGTCCGGATAAGAGAGATTTCATTAACCAGGCACTATAGCATCTTGACAGTTCAAACGACTCACGGCGGTGACTATGTGCTAGTGTCCTACATATTTGCCATAGGACTAATTTTATGTCAAAACTGACCATAGTTTCTTAGAATAAATATTTATTTTAATATTTTTATTAAATTTTTAATATTGATATCAGTCAAATATCTATTAGATTTCTTTTCGGATTTGTAAGAAAATATTACACGTCTTTTTAAGCATTATCTCGAAAATAAATAAATTAATTAACAGTTGCTACCAGAGCCAGAAGGCAGACTACATTCCTGTGTTCTTATATTAGGTCACCGAGACAAGACGAGATGTCCTCCTATCATCAGCTGTCTGTTTTACCTGTATGGCTGTACCTTTGATGTGGTAATGAGACGGGAGAAACAGGTGTTTATAGCACACAAACTAGTGTGTTAGGCCACCAGCTAGTGTCCGTAAGAAATTAAGAATCTCCCTTTTTAACAGGCAGTAAATTAATGTTGTTTAAATGTGGTGATAGTTTCTTTTAAGTACAAATATGTTGAAAGGAGTTTTTTCCTGATACTATCTTGAAAAGAGTGTCAGTGATCCTCTGCATACAGATCAGTAAGATGTTTGTTTCCGTTGATTGTAAACGAACTATTAGATTATAAACACAAGAAATGTTTCAATTATTTCATGACAGAACCATTTATATAACACCTCAATGACAATGAAATAACTCTAATCCATATATCCAATAATAATTCTGTGTATTATATATGGGCAATGATTATGCAGCAGTTCTTTGTGGAAATCATCCAGATTTCCCATTTTTTCACAATGAACTGTTTATCATTTATGCCATTTAGACCCCTTGCATCACTTCTATAATCTATTTTATCATGACATTTTTATGTAAATCAAATATCTAAGATGTATCTAGTTGGAGGTCAAACCTATTATTGTAGACGAAAACATGTCATTTACATGTAGATGATTTTTGGTGTTCGTAACATACTTACAAGAAGCATAGGGAGAAACGTCTCTTTTAAATGATTTCGGATCGATATACGTGGGTTAAGAGAGAAACATAGCTATTAACATGCAACTCTATTTCATTGTATGTTTGTTAAACAACGACATAAAACATAAAACAAATAAAGCAAACAAACAAACATGGCCAATGGCGATGCTTGTTTCAATAACCATTTACAATGTCCAATTCGCTAGTTTAAATATACCTGTTAATGGTGTAACTAAGCTGTGCGGAGCCTATAACCTCACTGGCTAACATATTACGTCTAAATTAAGTGCTTATGCCAAACCAATTCGTCGAAAATGGATATATATGAAATGGTCATAAATAAATCACATGACCATCACATGCCAGCTGTGTTAATTGAGAGAAATGTTATGTCCCGAAATTTCTCGACGCCATGTCGGTCCGACCGAGAGCGAAGCCCGAGTCTGTCTGAAAATGTGTTTAAACCAACATAAAACACGAGATTGACGCCTATAACTCCTGTTTACAAAATCCATTCTCATTTATATCACATCCTCGCTAAAATCCGCTGTCGTTTCCAGCAATTGGTATTTGTGGGATGTTTTACCCGCCATGCATCACTGTCGTTTATGTATGACAAGGCACTTCTGTCACTGTCGAATACAACGGAAACACAAGTGTGAAGTCCATTTTCAGGAATTGAACAAAATTAAACGAAGCGCAACTGAAGCCCTTTGGTCTATTGGATTTAAAGCTAATTGGGGTAGGAGGCCGTGGAAATTGAGTGCGAACTAAACCATGTTGGTAATAAATTGAGTTGACAGGGGTTTTAACGTCACATGAACTATTTTTAAAGCGTGTTAACATAGCATCTGGCCACAGAAAGCAGGAGCAAGCATTCTTCTAACGATTCAAAACCAGCTATTTGAGGTTAACTCGTTGAAACTATGAACAAAACCAATACGTAGCATGCATGCCATGCCGTTGCAATTTTAAGTCAGAATGATTTAGAATGAATGTTGCTTACGCAACTCCGAACCATTATATATTATATATTGCTTAGTAATAAACCTTCTTCTATTTACTACCGCTTGGTTGAAATTGAACATGTACATATACATTATGTTGGATATGGTAGGTACGTTATTGACATTCCAAACAAAAAGGAACCTCTGTGGACTTTTTAGTCGGGAGGGGGG